AGAGAGAGAGAGAGTTGGTATAATGTGACTTTTGGCAAAATGTTGATTGGTTTCTAAATATGGGTTTTCGTGATTTGAGATGAGAGGAGAGTTTGTGATGCAGTGATGGGACAGACAGAGCGATGAGATGTACGGTCTGTACTTCCTATACGTGTTATTGAACTTTGATTTTTAGACGATTTTATGGCATTAATTACGATAATTCCCTTTTCGTGCGATTCTTGAATTGTTTGCATTTCTTAGGCACTAATTATAGCCCATTGTTAATGGATATACAGTAGATGTACAGTAGAGTGTAGTAAACTGATGGCTACCCCCGGCATATATTGGTGTCACAAATATCTTACAAGTTAGAGATGGTATGTGTTTATAAAACTTTTCCCTCTACTAGTGTTGGTATGAGTTTTGAGTCTAAGATACAAATAACTGTTTAATAGACATTTTAATGCAACTATTATAGTGTTTGTGTTAAAAGCAGTTTTAAGACATGATTTTAAACAAAAATACTCTACATTTTTGGATCCAAATCCCAGTTTTTGTCTATGTTTAGCACACTTTCTCATCTCATCCCATAGAAAAGTGCTGATGAGTCGAGTCGTTATATATTGTGTACAGAAATACTATTAAGAAATTTACTTTCCGTTTACTATTTTAATGACATGTTGTGTCGTGTGTCCCGACTTTCGAGCTTTTATTTATTACTTTTTTTGCATAAATGTCTTACGATTTAGTATATGATGTCTTGAAAGCGAAATGTCTTATGGTTTTTATAAATTATGATAATGAATAATTTGATCATTTTATCAAATTATTTGAGTTTATAAAACATAATTACATTAGAATATGTTTAAAAATGTTTGCACATATTTTGATTTATCAATTTTAAAATGATAATAATTAGTGTATAATATTTGTAATACATATTGACTATTATATAACATGTAGTTTGTTTAGTAACTTTTTGAGTCTCGTCAAGATATTTATTTCAATAATACTAAACATAAGATTATTTATTATGAATTTTGAACCAATGTTTTGTCATTGAAAGTTTCAATTTGAAACCAATAAAATGATAAATAATACATAACTTCTTTGAATTATTGTTTGAGGTTTTAACACATTGTTGAAAATACAATGAATTACATTCAGTATTATATCAGTAACACTAAAAACTTGTATTTTTTGCCAAATAAATTATTTCTTGTATTTAAAGTATGTTTTGGTTGTGCTCTCTATTTCTGTTGTAAACAAAACTATTGATAGGACATGAAAGAGAGACTCATTTATTAACTGAATATAAATTACAATTAATGAATAGAGTTATAGTAAAGCAGTTATAACGGCAAATATGTAAGGTTTGGCAAAAGTAGTGTTCATTTTGTGCTCATGTATTAAAAATGATAAATATCTTACTTTCCTATTTCTATAAGTATTACATTTAATATAATGTAAACTCACTTTTCTATAACGCCTACAGAATATTCTTATTTAGAATATTCCAAGAGTTAAATATTCTTAACTCAAACTCAAAAACACGATTTAAGCGATGCTTTTTGAATGATAGCATAGATTTGGTGCTAAAATTAGTTAAACATTTTCTGCTCTTATTTGCTGTTATTTTTGTCTTATTTTTATATCCAATGATATCTCGTTTGCGTTTATTAGAGAGAAAGGGAAACTATTTTTGCCTAAAATGCAAACGAGTGAATAAAATTCAGTACACGATTGGCAAACATTCAGTATTTTTAAATTATTTAAATCATATTTATTATTTCGCCCATTTTTAACTTCTTTAAATGATAATTTAGTTTTTTATCATGTATTAAACTTTAATTTAATATTTATTTATTACTTAAATATATTTATAATAATGACTGAAAATAATTCAATACGAGAATATTTGCAAAATACATTTTTAATCAATTTAAAGTACATGTTTACCATTATATTAACAATTGTTAACAATTATTGTTTAATTTCTCTTTAAACATTTTAACATTTTTTTCTGGAAAATATATAACACATTTGTTATTTAATAATTGTTGCGATACAATTCATATGTAGATTACACCCAATATTATATATACCAATGTTTGCACTTCAATATATACTCCCGAACCCATCCCTTCACCCTTTTCTGTGCTTAAAATTGTGGCTCTTTTTGTCATAAAATATATTAATAATTGTTTGTCAAAAAACTTATATTTTATGTGTTTTCACATAATTAGGAAACAGAATAAAATTGTATATAAAACACATGCATATAATGAGTTGGAAAATATATATAATATCTTTATTTTCTTTATAAGAATTTCCTGTTTATTATGAAATGGTTTTTTCAATACAATGAATATTCATAAACGCATTCTTTGAGTATAATTCGACAATTTGTATGCATTTCTGATGAATACAGTAATTGTTTTTGTTTTTTATTGTGTTTTTAAAATTATTTCATTGCAACCTTTTTCTTAAATTTTATGATCAAAAGTTAAATGTTTGGCGAAATTTCTTAAATTCACAAAATTTTGGATGAATTTGTATTTTATAATTATCTGATTATTTGATTAATTAGTCAACACATGAAAGAATTTTATAAAAATAGCTGTTTGTTGTAAATATTTCACAATCTGTTAATCAAATGCAATGTTTAGTAACGTTAAGATAATTTTAAAAATATTTTATTTATAGATTGTATTATGAAATTCTTGTTTACATTTGTTATAATAACTAACAGAAAGAATAATTTTTAATCCTTTTCCTTCGCTATTATATACTCTACTCTTGAATATAATTCAATTTACAGTATTATAGAAAAGTGTGAAATTTGTTTTGTAATTATAAAACTATTTCTCGCAAGAATTTCACTGATTTTATGTTATAAAACATAACATATATTATTAACTATTCTTTGTTTTAAAATTTTTAACAAATATTTAACACAAAATCGTTAATAAACATAAATTTATTGATATAACATGTGTTTAACACAATAAATGCGAATTTTATAAATATGTAAATTTTGATTTTTTTTTTGGTTAAACAGAGCGACGAGTCGTGTGAGCCTTCGGGACATTGTCTGTCGAGCGGAGAGTCTTCGGACAACGGGGCCGACGACTCACCCGAATTGTTGACGGGTGTCATGAATTCGGGCCCAATGGTCACATCGGGTGCCACTACTTATGCACAGTTGGAAAATGCATTACCACTTAATTACTTGAATGAAGTCAATCTAATCAACAATAAGATCACAAATCGTCAATTGATATCTCAATTGACTAATAGTAACGGTGTGTTTGTCTTTAACCGACTAATGTCTTAAACTGTTTAAACTAATGCTATATTTGTGTCTAAAACATACAGCGCTATCGAACACATCCCAGTCGACAGTGCCGTCCATATCATCTCTGGTGACGACCTCATCGGCGCTACAGTTGATGCCAAACACAGCGACAATCAGTAGTTCAGCAAAATTGGGAACAATTGGAACCAATGCTAAAACCAATCAAACAATACATATGAGTCACGCGTCCGCTCAACAGTTGTTAAGCGCCGGTAATTTACCACTCATTTCATAGCGAATCGCATATTTTTCTGGAAACTAATTTAAAATAGATTTTTATTAATAACAAGTTTTCACAAATCAACACAAAATTATTGTAATTTTCAAATCAAATAATAAAAAAGTCTTTTAGTTCTGCTGTTAATCGAAGGCTTTTTGTTATTAACAGAGCGTTTGATAGGAAAATATTATTTATAGTCTTCACAGCAATGAATAGCTTTGACAGCAAAACTAGAAAACTATAATAAATTGAATAAAAGTTTTTGATTTATGCTTTTTTTGCATTGATTTTGTGTAAAATACACTTGTTTTTGAAATTTATGATTACCTTTGTAGGAAATATACTATTGTGTGCCAACGGAAACCAAATAACAATACCCACTGCCCAGTCCTCATCCAACGCACCCACACTTATGTATAATCCAACGCAAGGACTGGTTTACGCTACGGCCGGCGTCGCAACTTCTGCGGCCAATCATAGCACCGGCACTGAAATACTCATCAATAATAACACATTTTCACACGTAATTGTATTTATTTTTCGTTTATTAGTTAATTTGTTACAAAATTATTTAATTGAATACAATTTTTGATCGCATTTGCAATTAAATTAAATATTATTGTATTTATAATTATATTCATATACAGTATTTAGCTTTTTGTCAAATATTTATGAAATTATTTAAAGGTGTTTTAAAACGAATTAAATTGTTTTGTTTTTCAATTAACAGTTACAACAATCACAACAACAACAACAGTCAAAGACCAGTAATCAGACATCGGGTGCCAAACGAGGAGATGGAGCTAAAAAGCAACGAATGAAATAATTGCAACTAATCTTAATTTTGCATAAAAAGCATAAAAATTGATTTTTATATACAAATTATAGTAATTTTAAAAAGAGATGAGAAAATAGTTTTAATTTTTAAATTATAATAATCTATTTTATGCATTAAATCCGGAATATATATTAATATAATATTTCTTTATAATAAGTGCCCAAAAAATAGATAAAACATTACGGTTTGAGAATCAAAAATATGGTTTGAATCCTATTTGCAAACCATAAGTATTAATGATTTGTATCTCATTTCCTGTTTGTTAGAAAATGAAATAATAATTTAATTAATTGTCAATTAATTTATTACAAGTTTTGTGAGTTTTTTGTTGTTTTTTTCCCAAAAAAAGAAAGTTTTATCAATTTTGAGTGACTGACAGCTCTTTTGTTATTTAATTACTATTTATGTTATTTATTGTGTAATAAAAGTTTACATAAATATTGTTTTTTAGAGAATTTTTTAATTAATCAAAATTGTATTTAAAATTGTAATTTTAAATCTAACTTAAAATAACTATTTATTAGTTATAAAGATTAATATATTCATTGGAATCAAGTGTAATATTTGTGAATAAACTAATTTAAAATTACATAATATTCTAACAAATGTCTAATTAATTACACTAAAGATAGTACTATTTTAAATAATCTATTTAAGATAGGTAAATCTATAATTATTTTGTCATTATTTGGTGATCAATACGATAACGCACAGAGAGTTCACGAGAAAGGGTTTGGTATACGACTCGATGCCTACAAGTGCTCCGAAGAGGAGTTATTGAATGCAATCGAAAGGCTATTAAATAATAAGAAATTGAATTAAAAACTGATGAAAATCTCGCAAAGAATACAATCGGATAATAGTATTGCAAAACTGCCCGAAAATATTGAGGACTTCATTCAAAATCCACAGAAATATAAATTTTGAATCTAATCGTAAAATTTTCATAAAAATTACATTCAAATAGTGAACCACACTTTGATTACATCTAACAATTGATTGATTGTTATAAAATTAACTGTTATTTAGTGACTGGTTTGTTGTACTTTTAATAAAAATAACATTAACTCCTGTATTTATAATCTATACACTACAGTTATAGACTTATAGACTTAGTTATAGACTATAACATTGACGGACTCCTCACCGCATGAAACCTGTGTTACACATGTTTTTGATAATTATATTCTGATAAGTATTATATAACAGGTATTATAACTGTAGCTGTAATTTGTAATTAAAAGTATTACATAAGTGGCTCGTTGGTCTAGGGGTATGATTCTCGCTTTGGGTGCGAGAGGTCCCGGGTTCAAATCCCGGACGAGCCCCGAACTTGGTCTATTTTGACCAATATTTTGACCAGGGGTCTATTACCAGGAATTATCCCGTATTCCCGTACCTCGTTTAGTAAATTTCATTAATCTACTCATAATTTTAATACAATAAAGTAATATCTTTGCAAACCAGTAAAAGTAATCAACTATTTTTAACTTTATGTAATATTTATTCTGTAAATATGTATTTAATTTAATAATCAATTGAATTAATAAAAGATTAATAAATTGATTAAATATAATGTTTGATTGAAAGCACAAACAGTATGTGTCATACAGTCATATGCTTATAGAGTAAACATAATATAAACGTGTTTTGCAATAAAATCGCTTACGGCTTAAACGAAATTATATTTATCTCATTTAACTATCAATAAAGTTAGTAAAAAAAATCCATAGCAAAAAACATTAGGGTCTATATAGCTTGTGATAAAAGCACCTGTAACAAAACTAATCGTCTTTGTAGCATAACAGGCTCGTTGGTCTAGGGGTATGATTCTCGCTTAGGGTGCGAGAGGTCCCGGGTTCAAATCCCGGACGAGCCCAAGTTCACTTTTGCATTTTATTACAAGTTTTATACTCATTTTATTTACTCTAAACTTGATCACATTTGTATTTAACCTGATTTACATGTACATTGTTAATTTAATTTCAATATAAATCAATTGATCACGAGCTTAACCATAATGTGTAAGCATTAAAATATTAGTCAAGTAAATGACGTGCGCTTAATATGCGTCCAAATGAGTGCCACTTTGAGCACAAATGAGTGGTAAAACATGTATTGAATTGAATGCCATAATTGATGTATTGCTCCGAAAGTAAACACATGTCAGACAACAACACAAACACTTTGATTGCCGTGAAATGAGTTCCCAATTATTGTGTCAATTGGTGTCCAAATGGGCGACAATTGGCCACAAATGCAATGTTTTGTCGCAATCCGTGAGACATAAGTCTATTATCAGAAGATGTGGTTATAAAGAGCCGCCAGAGTTCAAGAAGAAGGACATCCGCTACCAGACGAGCACTGCTCACCGCACAAAACTGATGACCTGGGAGGATTATCAGGTATTGTCACCACTAACACTTCCACTCACCATCGCTCCCATTCCTCTAAGTCTCACCAAAGAGTGACCACTTATAAGGTGTTATAGACATGGATGGATGGGTTGGGATGAGTGAGTGGTATAGTATGTGTTGTTGTTGTCGATGGTATGGCCGATGATGTGATGATAACAGTGTTGTCTGTCTTAACAGATGCGCAAATGGAAAGCCGATCACTGGAACAAACCATTGGTGTCTTGGAGGGCGCGTATGGACTTCGCCGAGAATATGGTCCGATTGGGTATGTCTTCGAAGTCGATCGAGAAGATAACGGATCTGCACCCGCATTGTGTCCAATATCTGGAGCGCAAGAATAGCGGTAACGTTGAGCTTTTGAGGGAAGCCGAGTACAGCAACTTCGTTAACCACCATCCCGGCAGCTATTGACCACCACATACACACACTGTATCCCCCAATTCATACCTTTTATCCAATTATCTTGCATTTCCGTTAATTACTATAGATTTAGTGATTTGTAAATTAAAATTATGATTATATAAAATAGTTGTTTGTCTTAATAAAAAGCTTATTAATAATAAAATTAAAAAGTTTGATATTCTCTTAGTTTTAAAGAAAAATTTACATTTATTATTTAAATCGGCGATCGATTTAAGGGTTACGTTAAGTATACCACAAATATAAGTAATAATTTATTTGAGTTGTAATTATGTATTTTTATTGAAGTCATATTCCATATAATTTTAAAATCAATGCATTTGTGTAAAAAGCATTTCATTTTTACTAGAATAACAACAAAATAATTTTTAATGTGTTTTATATATGCATTATTAATATATTGGTCACATATAATGGCAGCTATTATTCAGACCATTCGGTAATTATAATGCAATTACAGGATATGGTATATGATTAGGAATAATGTGAATATTCTCTATAGAGAATATTGCATTTGATAATAGCATTTCGTGCACTATATATGCAATATTTATTAGACAAATTATTGACTCTCTCTCTCTCT